TAACACGAATCAGACCAACATATCTCACAAGTCTTTTTATGACACATTTGAGAACACGCTGCAGACACACCATGAATTGTAATTCTCTAGTGCTGTCTCCTCCAGCTGTAGAAAAATGGTCCCAAAATGACAGGTAGTTCTTGTGTCTACTTTGCAGCCACTTTACTAAGAGATGAGTGGCTGGGAAAAGAAGTGGAAAATCAGGTGCTGCATGTTCAATTTAGAAAGTGTTAATTAGGCTCAAACCTTCATTTACTTGTAATTGTTTTGGTATTAGAATCCCTATCAGCTGATTCTTACTTTGCTCCTACCCTGTCAACATACTTCATTACACATTCTCCTGATGTCTTTCTGAGTCTCTTCCAATCACTCTTCAAGTTTAATCATCATAAGCCAGAAATGAGGTTGATTGCGGATGTTGATTCCAACCACGAAAACAGGTCTTTTTTTGCTGCTAAAGAGTAACTGAAAGCATCTGGGAATGATTAGAAAGTGGAGCAGATGGCTTGCTGTCCTGGAAGCAGTGCTGCCAGAAGAGGGAACCTGCTGCACATCCTCGAGAGGAACGCAGGTGTACGAACCACATGAGGCAACAGGAGAGACAAGTCAAAGGTGTCCATCTTGAGGCCTGCACTTACTTTTATCAGATATCACTTCGGCCAAGTTATAGTGGATTTACAGACTCCCAGCTGAGAACAGAAACTTGTTCCCATGGCACAGATCAATTAAAAAAAAATCAGTATTAAGACAAGGGGCAGAATAATGGAGGATTAACCCTTTCCAAGACCTCACAGATGGCATATTCTACATGTTGCAGAGTGAGCAGGCAGCTTCTGCTTTGTGCTGTTCAGTTTGGTCCACCTGTCAGCATTACTGATACACCTGTACTTCTCTAAAGCTCCTTAGCTTTAAGCTTTAATGATTACTGACCGAAGATTTCAGCAGCTTATTTCAAAGTTGCTGCACTTTAATTTAATACTGCCTACAGTATAAATATTTGGGCAAATGCAGCTTTGAAAAGCCTTTTTATTTTCCTAACCCCACTCCCCCACCCTCCTTTTTACATTATAGGGAACCAGTGTAAGACTAAACCACACAGACATGGCCTGAGGCAGCACGATATTTAATGTGCACATTGCATCGTTGTGCGACAGCCCTGTGCTATGACAGCATCACGGAATGAGAGCCCGCCCTGTACAGGATCTCACCTACTGCCCCGCACCCCCATCCACGCCCTCTGACGTCACCAGGCTCTGTGGGAAGCGTCACTTCGCCGGGCCTACATTGCCCGGCAGGCCCTTCTGGAAGTGGCGTCTGCCTGTATCCGGGAAATGCGCCGTGGTGGCGGTGCGTTGCTGTTTGTCGTGAGTCGCAGGCGGCCGGGCCAGAGTCCGGTGGCAGGAGCTCGGGAGGTGACGGTCCCTGGCTGAGGCGCTTCTTTCCCGCAGGTGCAGCTATGGCGGACTCCACGCAGAACGGGCCGATGCAAGGCGGGGCCGGCGGCGGAGCCGTGGTAAGGAGCTCCTGGCCGTGGAGATGGGGGGAGTAGGCCGCAGCGCCGGTCCAGCTCCTGCTGGGGGGCGTGAGGGTCCTGGACCGTCCGTTGCGCTTCTCCAGCCCCTTATGTCGCTGGGATTGCGGTATGGCCGTTGTTCGCCTGGGTAGGGGCAGAGGGAAGCGGCTCTTCCACTTTCTGGTTGAAAACGTGCTGTTGCTTGGGAGCACCTCCATCAAAACTAATTCTGCAGCAGCAGCTCCGTGCCCGTGGTTATATTGTGAGACAGTAGATGACGATATGAAGACAACTGCAAATTAGGTTAAGTTCTGGTCATGTTTATAAAAAGGGTCTAGGAACAGAGAAGGGGCCTTCAAAAGCTGGTTCAGATTTTGAAGTAAACTTTGAGCTCTTTAATGTGAAAGGAAGTTGATGTTTTGACTCTTAGGCAACTAATAACAAAAGCATGTTATGTTTTATTAGACTCTTTCTGGTATGGGGACTATATCAGGAGTGGAGTTCCTTGAAGCTGTGGTAAGCAAAGCTTAACAGCAGAAGTGCCAGGTTACTGTTGAAAGTTTTTTGCTTTTTTTGAGGCCAAGAATATGTAGGCCAAATCGATGTTGCTTTCCATATGATGTAGCTATGCAAACTTTACGTAACCCCTTCTTTTTTCCCCTGTCAGTAAGAACTGTGGTGACTTAGCTGCAGGTGTGTGCAGTGTATTCTAAAAGGAACCTTGAAGCAGTAGATACAAAAGTCAGTTGGGTCTGAAGGCCTAGCATGGTAACTTTTTTGAAGCTGGCTGTTTAGTAAGTTTGGCTTCTAGAGAAAACCTGCTTCCACGGAAGATCTTGTTACTTTATTTCATTGTAGTGTACGAAGGAGTCTTGTGGTTTTGAAGATGCCCAGCTATTTTTGATCTGGCTAGTAATATTGTATGAGTCAGGTATTACAGAACAAAAATTCTTTGTTTCAAGCTATAATTTGCTTCTATTCAGGGTTGGAGAAAGACTTGCAATGTAATATAGAAGGGAGGGAGGAATGTTCATTGTATGCAAATATTAAGATACCAACTTCTGTGGGGGTTGAGTTTTTTCTTTTCTTCTGATTTAGCAATTTCTGATGGCTAACAAGTTGGATACAGCAATGTGGATTTCCCGCTTGTTCACAGTTTACAGCTCAGCTTTATTTGTTCTGCCTCTTCTAGGGTATGTATTGTAATATGGTAAAATAGCACTAAAAGTTTACAAAGTAACTATGCTCCCTTTTCATAAAGTTCTTTTTAATGTAAGGACAAATTTCTATTGTTCAGAAATTTATTATTAATTATAAACTTTTATTTTTGTCAGAACAGTTTACAGATTTTAGATTGCTTTAAAACACTTTTAGATGTGTTAGGAAAAATGCATTAAGCAACTGTAAAGTAGTGCCGAATACATGTTTTTATATGTAGTAACATTGAGTTGCTTTACCTTTGGCACGTGCAGTAAGTCAGTGTTACCAGTTTTTGAGCTGTACTTGGGTAATAGTGCTTATGTGTGAGAATAGAAAGACTTCGGGTATTGTGCAATTGTGATAAATTCTCAAGGGTGGAAGACTTCTAGCAGGGGCTTGGTTCATATGGTAACATCTCCTCTGATGATTTGCAGGTTGCATGAAGCAGCAAGCTTTTATCAGCGAGCCTTGCTGGCAAATGCTCTTACTAGTGCCCTCCGACTACACCAAAGGCTACCATACTTTCAGCTTAGCAGGGCATTTTTGGCCCAGGCTTTGTTGGAGGACAGCTGCCACTATCTGTTGTACTCTCTTATCTTTGTGAATTCCTACCCTGTTACAAGTATCCTTTACTTGTGTCATCCTGGTAATGTTTTAAAATATCTTAAAAACTTGATTCTTATCACCTGTGCATGATTTGAAAAACTGGTTTAAACTAGAATATATTTGCTATTCATAAAACATGTTCATAATAAAATAAGAGAGGCTTATGTTGATTGATCCATATTCAGGTTAATCACCTCTATAACCTGCAGTCTCTGGCTAGTTAGATTTTCTTTTTCCTGAGACTTCAGTTCATTGTATGACCAGCCTAAGTGATACTTTGAGAAGTTGGTAACCTTCATTTATTACCAGTGCAGGGTTTATATATGACTCCTCACTGTAAGTAGGACATATATCATGTAGAGAGACAATTATTCAGTAGTAGCTTTTTTGAGTAAGTTATTAAACAGATGAAGTCTGCAAAAAAGACTTACTCCTGTGGCTTGTCAAAGATGGCATGTAAGAACTGACTTTTTTTGTGCCACTTTGTATTTTTGCTTAATGTCCTCATCTTAAGATGTCTCTTGCAGAGGAATGTCTATGTTCTTGTTCTCCAAAATCTGAATGGCTGGCAACTGCTTGTTCTTTGGTAAATAAATGCGTTTTGTAGTATTAATAAAAAAAAATTATGACTCCATGTATTTGATAATTTTTAAGGAGTAATCTCACATGCATGTTTCATGTAGAAAGAGTCCATTTCAGTAGAAATGCACTGGTGTCTAATGGTGTATGTTGTACTTTTGTGTACCTGCATACACACACGTTCAAAGTTAATAAAGATGTATAGAAAGAGGTGTAAGATCCAAAGGTAAGAGCTATAAATGTAGTTGTTAGACATATACGTGTCTTAATCCAGTATAGGTCTTTATAGTCAACTTCTTGCAAAGAGCCATCAAGCTATAGATTTTGTATTAGCATAACATTCGCAGAAAAATGAAGCGCTTCTGCAGCCTATAATTTTCCTTATCACTTGCTTCAGTGAGCATCTTTCCAGTTCTGCTGTTCTCTTTGCTTCATGCTGCCACATATACAAAGAAGGTTCTTGATGTGAGTATGATATGATTAATACCATTGGTGTTCTTGGTTTATAAGCAGGTTTGAGTTGCAGCTATGGTTTCCTAGCTGTACTAGAGGAGTTGCCTTTTTAGGTTTGGTGGGTTTTTTCCCCTTTGTTTTTACACTTCTGTTATGACCCAATGTTATATTGGAACTGACATTAATAATTTTTCTTCAAATGCTGTTCTTTGATGGAAGCAAATGCTGTGTAACAGTTAAGTTGAAACTTAAGATGTCTTTTCCAGTTAAACTACAGCCTGTGAAATTTGGTGTTCTATTTCAGTTGTAAAATAATAAACTGCAGGGTGAGGCTGGGAAGCGAAATACTTGCCAGTTGGATCTGCTGCTTGATGAAGTACCGTGTACAGCTTAATGTAACTCCAGCCTTTGGTGTTCCTAACTGGGCTGCCTTGCTACCATAGGTACTTTCTTCTAGTAGACAGAATAAGGCTCATGGCCATCTCTGTGCAGTTGAACCTAAAATGGGTGGGTTAGGGAATTGCAGCATCTCGTATTTTTTAATTGAACTCTGTAATTATGGAGTTTCAAAGCCTCTGGTAGTTTTCTTTGGGATACTAATCTCAATACCTTTAAAGGATCTAGTCTTAAAGTGCTGAAATGAGTTGTAAATTGTAATTGTTAGTATTTTGATTTCTTTCTACTAGGGAAGGTATGTGTAACTTGCATGTTTTCTGGTAATCTTTTTTTCTTTGAAGGCACAAAGTTCAAATAGTCTACCCTTTCTGAGAAATCTTTTAGACAAGCTGAATGCTAATCAACAGAATATTCTAAAATTCATTGCTTGCAATGAAATTTTCCTGATGCCAGCTACAGTTTTCATGCTTTTCAGGTAAGAATTACCAAAAATATTTTCAGAATTGGAAACTTTCTACACAATATTGCTTTTTGCCATTGAGTTCTACATGTGTTACAGATCTCCATTTGAATGGTTCTGGCTGACCAAGGCTTGAACTTAGAGTTAAATTAATTTGATTCCTAGACTTCTCAAGTTGGTACATCATGAAATAAAAAAGTATTCACTTTGGTATAAATAACCACCAAAACCTCTTGCATTTCAAAGCATGAGTGATACTGTTGGGTCAAATATAAGTTTTTCAGACCTGTAACTTGCATTCTCCTGCACTGTTCAGTAAGTTTAATTTTCATCAGGATAACAGAATATTAATATCTTTAGCTTCATTGAAAGTGAAATACTATTTTTGTCTATTAGATTCTAGAAATTTAAGTGGCATGAAATTTCATTGTGCTAAAAGTGTGCAAGCAGGAGCAGGCTATGTCCTCTCCTTTGTTACTTCTAACCAGTGACCCTTGTCTCTTTTTTTTTAGTCCTGTTTGGTTTTGCCTGTTGTGCAGACTGTTGAATTCTTTTTAGGGATCTTGAGCATACGCGTGTTGGAATCCTACTAAAGTCATACAGATGTAAAGACCTGATAGTCACTGAAGCTTGGGGTCATTGCCTTTTAATATTTGGAGGGGGAATAATGCCCTTTGTTCTATAGAAGTCCTAGCACAGTGAGAGCATTTTTCCTGAGTGGCCTTACAGGCAGCAGAAGGGAGACTTTATCTTCTTAGAAGTTGATATAATGCGTAATTTGTCTTGATCTCTTGATATGTCAGCTGAACACTTCAGTGCTTCAGCTCTGAAGGATTCCATTTCATTTAAGGCCACTTGTGAGCTGACATGTACACTCTGTTTCCAGTATCTGAAACATTCAGGCACTTTAAACTTCTCTTCAGGAGAACTTTTTTTTCCTCTCTCTATGGAGAATTTACTATGTGAAGTGTTGCTACTTGTTAAGTCATCTAGTAGATATTGTAGCTTGTAAAAGATCATACACCAAACTTCAAAATAGTTTAGTGGTTAAATGCAGCTGTTGTGAGAATTTGTTTTAAATTGTTTTAGCATGTTAAATTGCTTGTATATACTGTAAAGGTGCAAGATGTCGTCTTTTCCCCCTCCTGTTGCTCCCTTTTTTTGTTTTACTTGATACTTTTTCTTCTCGGTAAAGATGTTGCTTATACTTGAAGAATCTCTAGTTACTGGAATTGTCATGTTCAGATTCAAACGGCTTTTTTATGTTGCGTTATATAAAGGAGCCTCAGTCATTAAATAAACTCATGGTATTTCTGTGCTTTGCTATGTATGGCTTGTATGCTACCTACCCTTTCACTATTTTACAGCACTGGTCATGTGAAACAAGTTTTGTAAAGTATCAAAACCTCATTTCAGTGTAACTAAAGTAGTTAGATATCAGCTTGGTATTGATATCTCAATACATCTGTAATAGTTGCCAGTGTGTTCTGAGAAGTTTTGCAAAAGGTACTAGAAATGCAGTCCAGACAGTTAAAGTGTTATGATTAGAGCTGAAAAAATTCTCTATAACTGGACTGTTTGTCAGTCATAGAATAATTAAGGTTGGAAGAGACCACGAAGGTCTAACCATCAACCTAAGACCACCATGCCCACTAAACCATGTCCTGAAGTGCCACATCTATGTGCTTCTGGAACTCCTCCAGGGATGGTGACTCTACCACCTCCCTGGGCAGCCCATTCCAGTGCTTGACCACTCCTTCAGTAAATAAATTTTTCTTCATATCCAGTCTAACTCTCCCGTGGTGCACCTGTAAGCCATTTCCTCTTGCCCTATTACTTGGGAGACCAGCACCTGCCTCACTACAACCTCCTTTCAGATAGTTGTAGAGAGTGATAAAGTGTCCCTTCAGTCTTCTCCAAACTAAACAATCCCAACTCCCTCAGCCAGTCCTCATAAGACTTTTTCTCCAGACCCTTCACCAGCTTCGTTGCACTTTTCTGGACATGCTCCAGTGCCTCAATGTCCCTCTTGTAATGAGGAGCCCAAAACTGAACACAGTATTCGAGGTGCAGCCTCACCAGTGCTGAGTACAGGAGCACAATGGCAGGCATCCACCATGACTTCTATGATTCTTTGCCCACCACCAGAAATGAGGCATATAAACAAACAAATATAAAATCAATACAAGAACAGCACTTAGTTAACTGCTTCATTGAGCAGTTTTAATCTATAATGTAAGTTTTTGCCTTTGTAAGCGTATGATTATGTACTTTTTTCTTGTTAGATCTAGATTATCCGAACCAATATGACTCCAATCTAGCCTAAGTAGTTTGCTTGCTTTTATTAGTAAAAGTCCTGATTTTTTTTTTCAGTATTAAGCTCTATTTTTCTTTTCTCTTTCAGTGGGCAAGGGAGTCTGCTCCAGCCGTTCATTTACTATAGGTTTCTTACATTACGCTACTCTTCTCGGCGAAATCCATACTGTCGGTAAGCACTAAATTGATACTGCAAGTTAAATATTAACTGCATAGTGTTTAGGTATTCAGAAATTTTTCATTCTAAAAGGAATGAATAACTCATAATACTAAATCTGTAAATGGCAGTTACAGAATGTGGAATACACCTGGATGGTGTGGAAAACAACAACAACAAAACCAACAAAAACCCCAAAAAACAACACCAAACACAAAAAACAAACCAACCAAACAAACATAAAACAACCCTAAATCTGACTTGTTTCAGGTCAGTGCTTTCTGAGAACTTTTCTTATGCCAAGTATTGCATAGTGTAAGACTTCTGTGAACATACTTTCCAGTCTAGAAAATGGCTTGCTGAAGTACCAAGGAAGTGTCTTTTGCTGCCATGGTATGCAAAGACAGGTCTAAGAATTACAAACTTAATTGCCTCCCATTCCCTAGTATTTTGTAATAAAGTAGTTGTTCTGTCTTAGTATGTGCATTTTCTTGGGGGTTAAAATATCTGAAGGAGCTTTAGTACTTTGGTATCTAAAAATAATTTAACTTCTGCAATACTAAAACTAACCTTAAATAGAACTAGTTTATCAAAGATATTCTGCTGGCACTTATGTAGTTTTAAGGGAAATTTGTGTTGTGGGGTTTATTTCTCATGTCTGCCTTTTAATAGTTACTTCTAGAGTGCTGGGTTCTTGTGTTCTTACAATCAGCAGCACAAACACACAGCTACCTTCCAACTCCTTATGCTATTTCTGATAAAGCATTCTTTTTGTTTTGTGTGTGTTTTTGGTTTTATTTTTTTTCTTAAAGGTAGACTTTTTCTGCTGTCTTTATCTCAGCTGGAAATGGCTGAACTAAAGTTAATTAAAATGTTAATGTTTAAAGCACAAGAATTCTGAAGCTTTTGCAAGATACTCCAACACTGAGCTTGGTCTAAAGAATTTGCTAACTAGGGTGTATGTGGGATGTTGAGAAAAGTAAATGAAAAAGATAGATTTAGATGATACTTCTGATAAATGCTGTAGGATTTTAAAACTCTTTAAATCTGTTTTTTCAGGACTCTCTTCACAGAGCTGAGGATCGTTGTTGAACACTTAATAATGAAGCCCTCATGCCCTGTTTTTGTAAGAAGACTATGCCTCAGCAGCATTTCCTTTATAAGCAGATTGGCACCAACTGTTGCATAGCCAAATTGAAGGCACTTGTGTTTTGTGAACATTATGAGCAGCTGGCACTTCTGATGATGATAATAAATTCCTGGTTTTACACTGATCTCACTCCAGGCTGTATAAAACTGTGTATATGCTTTTCTTGGAGATCATATGAAATTTAGCATATCAAAAGCAAGTAATGGAAACTTAAAATTACTGTGCTGTATTGCTATTTGGTGAAAAAGGTAGCTGCTTCCTATCCAAAACATGCCCAGTCATAGAGAATTGTGTGTGTGTTTTTGTGTGGGGTTTTTTTTTTTTTTTTGGTTTTTTTAGGAATCAAGGATTGTTTGAGATTGATTAAAACTTTAAGAAGTCTCTGCTCAGTAGCTTTATGTTAGTTGGAACTATAGCTACTGTAGGATGTCTCCAGTGGATAGCAGTTGGTACACCTACCTATGCAGTACACTTTGGACAGTATTCTGCTTACTAAATGTATCTGTAGAACCGTTTTGTCTAAATTACTATGCACAGTGTGAAAAGATGGCTCACTTTGAATTTAACAAAAGGGATTAAAATCTATGAAGCTGACATAGTTAACACCTTTTCTGAATGAGAGGCAATTTTAACTAATACAACTTAAAAAGAACTCTTCAAAGTTTCTACCTTGTGACAGTCTTACATTATATTGTTGGAAGAAATTTCAAGACTGATCATGGGAAACTCTGCAGTTATCTTGTCATAACAAAATGTTTTACCAATGCAAATAGCCGACCTGCTGGCTTCTCAAAGATGTAGTGCTTAAACTTTTAACCATCTCTTAAGTGAACTAATCAATGTAGATGAAGTAACTTTTGCAAAATCATTGCAGATTTGTTCTTCTATCCACACAAATGTGAAACTGCAGTAATTCAAGCTTGTCAGCTTTTTAGAAAATTAATCTTTAGCTAGCTTTATATAAATTGTTCTTCAAGTTTGTGAAGCTCTCATTGTGATGGGAAATCTGCATAAATGATTGCACCTGTTTAGGCAGCTTCTGAAACAAATGGGGGTAGGATTTTTCTGGCATAAATTCATCTGATGACTGATCTGAAGCCAGTGTCATGACTACAGAAGTGAGTATTAAATTGAGTGCTGATTATGCATTTACCCAGCAGCTGAAAGGTAGGTTGTGGGAAAAGAGTATTTTCTGTCTGAACATTACTTCTTTCCATAAATTCAAGGCAGAGTATTTGCCTCATCTTCTGTAGTTAATGTTAGTATTCTAATTGGATAAAATTAAATGGGTTTCATTGGCCTTTTGTAAACTTCTATAGCACTGTACTTAACTATTATTCCTTGGTCAGAGAAGTCTTACGTGAAACACTTTTTGAAAATAGTCCTGAAGCTAAGTATTTTCCTGTAACTCTTGAGTTACCTTGTTTGTGATGTGGGTATCATTCAGACTTTCCAGTTGTATTAGTTTGTTAGATCAGAGCCATGTATTTATAAACTTCATTTTTTTGCTCAACCTCTTGGTACTGAGGAACCAAATGGTAATTGAATGAGATTCTTTGACTACTTGACTTGCTCTCTGAACATGATTAGCTATTTATAGACCACTTGCACACTGCAGAAGCAACTGCATGCAGTAATGCTCTACAGCTGCTGAATACTTGCAATGAGATTCATTCTATGTATATCCTGTAATGTGAAGATTTTATAAAAACTGAAAACTTTTCTAATTACTGTTAGCAAAAGAACATGTTAGTTCTGAGCAAGTTTTTGTGGTATAAAACTGCTGTTGTGGGTTCAGTCTACTGTTTCTTTAATTGTATGCTGTTATTAAGTTAGGAGTCTAAATTGGATTTGATATATTACAGCTGTAACTGAAGGATGCTAAATCTTGAGATCCAACTCTATGAATGGACAAGTAAGATTAAAAGGAATAAGTGAATGAGATTTCTGTAAGAGTTGAAAGACAGTGCCATGCAGTAGAGCTTATATGTGGATACTGAATTTCTTTTAACTCTTTCTATAAAGTCTTAAAGAGTAAGCAAGAGGAAAAAGCTCTTTCATAAATGCAAATTGATTTGATTTGGCTAGTAGTATATTCTTGGCTTTGTGAGGAGCTGCTTGACAGATAAGACCTGGATTTTACCTGATAAAACTTCTCTGATGTGCCAAGAAAACTTGGAACAATGGGGTAATAATAACTTTGAAGCAAAATAAACTGGGCAACTAACCTCCACTCTGCATCAGCTTTGTTTTTTACTGTGGCCTTTAGGCTGCCTAACACTGACTTTCCTCAATGCTGGGAAAAGCATTCTGTCCTTGCAGCCTGCTTGCTTACCACAGTTTGTTTCTATACTAGCAATTAAATTAATCATGTGCAATGTTAGTTGTGTCCTGATAGCCGGAGACTTTTTTCTAGTGGAAAGAACTGTATGTTCATGCTGCTGTGCTGTTAAAGCTAGCTGTGATGCTGATGCCATAACAAAATCTGTGGTAGTAGAGAAATTTTGCAACTGACTATAAAATGCTTGGCAACCCCAAATATGAAGCAGAAGAGTTTGTCCTCCTGAAAGGTTACCTAATAGGATAACTGTTTCCACTAGTATGAATCACACTGGTCATTGTTTTTGTCTTAGCTTTTGTAAGTTAAAGTGCTATTGCATAAAGTCTGTGGGTAGACATATCCCTTGCTGTGCACAAGCTTGCTGTAGAAGTCATGGTCCAGCATAGACTTGTCTGTACTCAGCTATAGGTAAATGAAGCATCAGGACCCACTGTGGGAGTACCTAATATTAGTTGGGGTTTCTAACATGCAAAGTAATTCACTAATGCATCCATTTTTCCTGTCTTTGATTTTATACTTCTGTTGTCATTTTTGTGCTACCAGTTTTACGTTTTGTTCCCTTCTTTGGTGGATGTTCTAAGGGAGCAATATCTGTTAATATCTTAAGTTTTTTTTCTTAATATATTATGATCATGTGCCACTATTTGTTTCAGCAGTTTTTAAGCTAGTCACTCTATATGTGATGGTACTGTCCAAATGTTGCTGGTTGCTTTGTACAGTCTGTACCTTTTTATCATTAGGCACCTGTATTGCAACATTTGGTGTACAGATTCCTTGTTAATTAAGGAAGTACAGTTCTTGATTTTACAGATGGGAACTGAGACATGGAAGGAAAGAGCACTCGTCTGAGGCAATGCAAGAGCTCTAGCAGAGCAGGAAGTAGAAAAAGATGAGTTGGACAAGTGTCCAGGAGGAACTGGAGAAACAGGGTTTGTTTCTACACCACATACTACTTGGTCCTGTTTCCAAAATGATTCTAACTGCTGCTTTAACAGTTTCAAACAGAGTGGGCAGATTAAGGGTAGCAAGGACCATTGAGCTAGGACAGCATGTTCTTTTAAAGCAATGTCAAAAATTGATTCCCATTGTGTAAGAGCTAGGTATAGCCCTTGGTACTGGCATCTTTCTGGTGAGGAAAAATAATGCAACAGAGTAAGATTGCAAGCACTTACATGCTAGATGTTAGTAGGGTATGCTGATCTGTTGCAATTGTCTATAACTTTTAATGGCTGCAGTGCAAGTATCTGTGGTTAAACTATACTGAAATGGGTTAGCATATCTTTGTCCTGTAACTTTTATTGTGCTATAACTTCCTTAAAATAACAGGAGGAGTCAGGTCATGCAATTTTAAGCAATCCTTTATTTCAAAGATGCATTATCAGTATGGATAATGTAATTGAATTTTATCTTAAATGTGGATTCAAAAAATATTTTTCTCATAAAAGGTCAGCATTACTTACTAACTTTTCTGCAAAAGCTAGGTCTGTGATAGCAGATATTGTGCAGGTAAGGGGGTTTCATTGCTTAGTTCCATGCCATCCAGATGGTACAAACTTCTAAAATGAATTGATAAATTCATCTTTTACTTGTGTTCAAGGACTGAGGCACAAAATGCTAATGTAAAGGCTCAGAGGGGAAATATAGTTCTCCTGCATATTTGAGAAAATGTGAAGCCCTTTCAAGAAAATCTAATAAACATAATAATCACAGGCTGCTGACACTAAGGAAAAAGCGCCTCATTCGCTCGCTCTTCTATGCAGCAATTTACTGGTCCCTACTGATTTTCAAATTGGATCACTGCAGTAAATTATCCATGCCAGTACCTGTGAAAGAAAGCACTGGGATCCATATTTGTTTAGTGCTGTGCTTAAATCAGCAAGAATGATAAATTTGATGGTATGAAATTGGAAATATCAAGGGCTTTTCTCAGTGAACCAGCAAGTATCTCCACTTGTAATTTGTGACCCTTTTTCACTGTATGTGCTTCGTATGTCAAATATTTATTTTGAAAGAAATTAAATTGTTTTCTGTATTGATACAGCTATGGTTTTGTTGATGTTCGTGAAATTAAATTCTATTTTTTTTCTGGATTTAAAATATTACCAGTGTTGTGTTGCAAAACAGCACTTGTTTAAGTTCAGATCTCTGAGTTTGAGTTAATGACCAACAGCTTTCTGCGTTAAATGCTCTAGATGTGTGTTGGGTGTTGTGGTTTTTTTGTTCTTTTTTTTTGTGTGTGCTTAGAATAGTGCAGGATGCACTGAGCTACTGTGGCTTCTAATTTATTTTTTCCTAGAGAAAAAGGAAGATTAAGCTGTATATCAAAACCAAAAAAGCTGATTCCTGTCTTTGTCATTGGAGCTATTCTGCTTTACACCTGGCATAAGGTGTAAAGGTCAGGTCTGTAGAGCAGTACCATGGATTATACTCTGAGGAGCCATGAAAGACTTTGTTCTTAAAAGAAGGCAATAGTTAATCTGAGTTTGTTTCCCTTTATCCTGATTTCCATGTGCCTGACCATTCTAGCTTGCTTGTGTGGCAAGTGAAGCGTTGCAGCAGTCCAGACTCCTGCCTGGGCCGAGGAGTCTGGTTTCCTTGAACGAGTGTGGATCATGGTATTTTTATTTGCTGTGTGTATTGCTATGAATGTTCACTCATGCACCTTTGTCAGTGTTAAGAGTGAGAATATGTTGGATGAAGATGGTGCATCAGTCAGTTATTTCACAGGAAAATTAGGCTGAAAATTAGCAATTACAAAGCTGTAGGGCTAGATTATCAGCAAGGAATA